TCAACAGCTCTCGAGAGTGTCTACGAATTTGTAAACATTTCACTGTATCAACAGCTCTCGAGAGTGTCTACGAATTTGTAAACATTTCACTGTATCAACAGCTCTCGAGAGTGTCTACGAATTTGTAAACATTTCACTGTATCAACAGCTCTCGAGAGTGTCTACGAATAGAAGCATTTTAATTTTATTACGAAGCGCTACGTACAAAAATTTGAAATCGCACGGTGAAAATTTGTTACGCGAAGAGTAAAGTGAAGGGTTTGTTCAAAATGAAGGAAAAATACGATTTCAAAGTGAATAATTATTCGTACGAAACACTGTACAACTGTGTACGTCCGGAGAAAAAAATTATAGTTCATTGTACCGAGGAAAAGCGTACCGTAAACACGTTAAAAAAGGGAAATACTTTGATCTATGATATTTTCCTAAAGGATGGTCAATAATTGGCCCCTACTGCATTTCACTTTTTACACCCAAGAAAGCAAACAGTTTCATAAGACGTACATGCAAGGCTTTCGAATATTTAGAAACGTATTGGCATCATGGTTGCTGCGCGATATAATCTCGAAGTCTGTCCCACTCACTTCGTTGTATTTCCGGTGCATGTATTTCGGCCTGTATTTCATCTTCTACGTTGGGAAGCTCCACCTCAGCTGCATCTTCATCCACCTCCGCCCTCGTGAACGCAGCGTCAACCACTCCTGAACGCCTCATGAAATTATGTATTCCCATCGTCGCAACTACAATGGCTACTTGCGCTCGGAACGGGTAGCTCGGCATGCGATCCAAGATCTTCCATCTTTCTTTCCACACACCGAATGCACGTTCAATGACATTTCTGCAGGAGGAGTGCTTGAAGTTAAACTTCTCTCGTGCATTTCGAAATCTACGATGACGTCCCGTTCTCTCGTCTCGAAACTGCTGGAAATGGTAAAGTATGTCAGACCCTTTATAGGGGGCCATATACCCAGGCCGATGAGCAAACTCGGAATCAACTAAATAGTACTTTCCCGGGGCCGGTAAGGAGAAATGTATTTTCGGATCATGGATAGCACGTGCAAGCATGCGCGCATCATGTGTATTGCCAAAGTACCCTGCAAGCACGAACGTGAAGCATAAATTAAAGTAACAAGTAGCTAACACATTCTGTGTCGGCACACCTTTCCACCCTATGAAGTTTACATGATCATGTCGCGATAGCACAGCTTTTACATGCGTTCCGTCAATAGCTCCGATGCAATCTTCAAACAATGGATGCTTGCTCAGATCAGGCCTATGTGGCTCGGACGAATCATGCGCGCTGAAAGTGCAACGACCGCACGTAGAACCTCTTTAACGTAGTGACATACAGTTTCCAATGAATGGTTGAAAATTGTTGTCACCTGTCGATATCCCTTCCCGTGCGCTAATATGTATAAGAACATGCCAACTTGCTCGTAGATGTCAACATGCTGGTTGGTACGTAGCCCATGCTCATCGCGCAACACATGAGCGGAATGTCGAAGCATTGCAGGATACATACGGAATTCTTGAAAGCACATCTTACTATTCTCGCCCATTGCCTCCATCATGAACATGTGACCGTTCCTTGAGAAAGGAAAACATCGTATACGCCGCTATTGCCTGTAGTGATAATTTCTTGCGTCATCGCCGGCGATTCTGCAGTATGAAAGCCAAGCGGTTGGATCGATCGCCAAGTTGTACAGAAACTGGTCGTCATCGCATTCGTCATTTGAGTCGGACAACACATAAAATATTAACATGATGAAATGATCATGGTGAACAATCTAAAACGGTTTGCACATCACGTCAACCAGCGCATTTTCAAACAGTAGGGTTAAAAGGATACAGACACTTGAGTACGAAAGGGAAACAGTTTTTCGTGACAACACATAAGTACATGTAACGCGTATAGTGAAAGGTGAAATTACTTGCCCCGCTCATTGAAAAGCCATTTAATCCATTCAAAATTTTTATCCACATCTTTCATAACGGCGAGCATGTTTCGATAGTGTTTTTTAGCCAGAATAGCACAGGCGAAAAAGTATAGAGGTATACGCCGTTCGAACCGTCCAGCCGCCAGTAGCTTCTCTATACAGGCAGTGCCGGTGTTGTCATTTGAGCCCATCATGGTATTAAGCTTCGCCACTACCTCCTCCGCGACACTTGTGGCTCGATCGATGGAGAACGACAGCTCGCGTGCAGATGTTTTTTTCTTCTTACCCCGTCGCGTCGCACCGGAGGACTTTCTTTTACCACCGCTTATGGTGTCGGATACGTTTAAGCGGGATCCACCGAGCATTTGCTCAGCCTCGTCACTTGAACCACTACTTTCCTCGTCAACGGGGATTGCATCCCTAGTGTCTTCGAACGCAGTGTCCTCAAACAACCCGAACCCCGTTCGGCACAACTTAGTCGGCGTGATCGCGTACTTCTCCCCATCGTAGCTGTCGCCAAAAAGTGTACGATAGCGAATGTATATCTCGCTCACATCCTTGTCTTTGAACTCCCTATAGTCTTTATTCTCCTGCGAAAAGAGGGACACAAAAAGATGGAAGATACAAAAAAAGGCATTCCAAATATACTGAAAAATACTGAACGGGATAGTTTGGTTCGACTTTGTGAAATATGTGTGCCGCGAATTGAAATAGTTACCCTTATTTTTCTATTCCACCATTCCTCTGATGCGACGACTCGACCGGTGGATTCGTTGTACTCGACACCGCTACCCTTTAACAGATCGGAGAGACGTCGGTAGGTTCGACGCATGGCGTCCCAATGGTTGCGAAGTTATTGCTTTGTCCAATTGTGCCCAATGGCTGAGTTGAACAGCGTGGAGATTCGGGCCCAACCTTGTTTCGTAAAACACCAACCGCTGCGATGGCCTTTGGCAATGGCGGTCTCGCAGGCCGCAATGAATGTTTGGGTCTCCAAGGCATTCCACCGAGCGTAAGATTTTGCACCTGAGGCTTGACCCAGCTCCTGTGCAACGAACGAGCTGGGTGGCTGGCCATGGCCACACTGCAAAGACAAGCCAGGCATCACGGATAAGAATATTGCAGAATATTCATTATAAGCATTGAAAGACAGTAAAATATCTACAGATTAAAAATTTGAAATTGACAAGAACGTACACGTAAAAGATGTTGTGAAGAAGTTCAATTTGGAAATAATGGATGCATTTCGTAGAGGCATTGAATTACCGTAGGTAAAGTTCACCTAGAGAATATGTGCTGCCGCAGAATGTGTTTTGTGAAGAATGTGATGTTGAAAGCATGAAAACGGAATAGCTAATCTACACACGCAGTTTTCATCATCACTAGTAAATCTGTACTTCAACAGGGTAGCTAATATAAATAACACCGACACAGAGGACTGAACGATGCTATCATTTTAAGGGGGAATGCAGAGAGCACAAGCGCAGGGGTTTAACCAAGACTATGTTCCAGAAATTGCATAAAACATGCTAGTCTCCATTTATGGTAGTATAGGTCAAGGGACAGATTTCGTAGAAAAGTATACGGCCAAACAAATACTTCGAGAAAAAGGGTAGCGCAATGCATATGGCAGTTGAGATGCGAACCCAGAGGCAGGTGCATTTCGAATTGCCACAATATCAATTTTGCCCAAAATCATAGTCCAAAACATCCAACGAAGTTGATTACTACATAGAATTACAGTTTAACAAATACAGTAGACACAATTGAATCCTAACGTCCCGGTAATTTGTTGTTTTACGAACAAGTAAACGGAATCAGAAAAGTTAGTGTTCGACGACCTACCGGTGTGTGGGCGGGATCCATGTGGTCCGCGGCCTTTCGGGTGTGGGGGACGAGCTAACCGGACGGACGACTGGGATTATTCGGCGGCGTTCTCCGTGGTGCTCGCGTCCTTGAAAACTGTCTGGATCTTCGGAGAAATGGAAGTATTGTCACCTGGCTGATGCAATTGAAGAAAACCCACTGTCAATTTGAGTTCGTCGTCGGCCGCTGATGGTCTGTTGTCGGGTAATCGACGGTACGGTGAGATGGGTTGCGTGTTCCTTTGGGGATTAAGGGCAAGAAATGGAAAGTGTGAAGAAAAAGGTTCTGAGGCAGGCACATGGGTTGTCAGATGAATTTTTTGCAAGGTCAAATAATTCATTAATGGGCAAAATTAATGGCCAACAAACAAGCCCAATATAATCACATCACACCATTAATTGCATTCAAATCAAGCATTTATTACTCCTAAAAAGGTGTCAAAGGGTAAGATGAACATTTTGTGGAGAAAAAGTGACATTTTTGGAAAAATTTCGTGCAAGACAATTTTTTTTTTTTTTACATTTTCAAATTTAGTGACATTTATGTAAATTCCCCTTAAGTTTTTTGAATCCTCTGTGCCTGATACAGTTTACAGTCGAGTTAAGGTTGGACTCTAGTACTTATGAGCAGTAGTATGACAATGTTTATTACATTACTTTATAGTTAGTTTTCTTAATTGTAGGTCTAGAAATTTGGATGCTATTTTAGGCATCCTTTATTATTATTATTATTATTATTATTATTATTATTATTATTATTATTATTATTATTATTATTATTATTATTATTATTATTATTATTATTATTATTATTATTATTATTATTATTATTATTATTATTATTATTATTATTATTATTATTATTATTATTATTATTATTATTATTATAAGGTTGTTTACAGTTCAGACTTATACGAAGTTTGGCAATGATATAGATTTCATTCGATATAGTTGTTATTTTTATCTCGATTTTTTTTAATCACATCTGACCTGGCAAAGATGTGTTGGAGCTTCAAATGTACTTCAATTTAATTAGGGAAAATTGCAGCAGCAGTACCAAACCTTTTTGTATCACCGTGACTACAAAACCTTTAAAAAATCTGCACCTAAGGTCCAAATGGATAGTTTCTATTAGTTTGAACGTTAATTGACCCAATAAATGGACTTTGACCAATATTTAAAGGGGTAAAATTATAACTTTGAATTAAACCTTAAAAAAAAAAAAAAAGGTCAATCATTGTTCATATTCTCTTTCCCACCCCCAACCCGATATCAATCCCATCCTCCTCCTCCTTGAAAGTCCACCTATAACCATCAGATAGAACTTTACAATTTTCGAACATGGTGGGTTGCTCATTTCTCATCAGACTATCCTCCCATTCACAGGCATTAGCGATGGTGCATAAGTTTCAGTCCCATTAGAAAAATTTCTGAACAAAATGTGGCCAAAATCCGAAGCCGTGGGGATATCCCAAACTCCAAGGACTTTAATTTTATCCCACGTTACATTTTTACTCAAATTAACCAGAAAGCTATCATTTTTATAGGTCTGGTTCAAAATCTGGTCAGAAACGACAAAACCCTTGCTCAGGTTTTGGAAATCATCCCCATCAGCGGCCCACCAATGCACATCGGAGCCAGAAAGCATGTCAAACTGGGTGATCTTGAAGGAATAGTCGTCAATTACGAATAGTAGACCGCGCAGCTGGTGTTGTACCATAGCGAATTCGAAAGTGAAGTTGAGGATAGTTGCATTGGTCCGAGGTGTTGGAAGAATTTTGTGAATAGTGACGCCGAAATAAGTATAATGATGGTGACAAAGCCGAGGCAAGAGTTGAACTCTTTGTCCTTAAGTCGAATTTGCCCCGCAACGGTGCCTACGGATTTCGGCAATCGACTCCCAAGATACAACGGCTACACTTGTGTTTGTAGCACTCCAAAACACAAGTACAACGAACCAAATGTAGGCTTATGTACTCCAAGGATGAAATGAAAGAAAATCAAAATAAATGAAATGATTTTGATTTTGGATAGAAGAGAGGATGAGAGACGTTTTTGCATATCAAACTGTGAGGAATAGGACACCCAAAGGGTCCTATTTATAGACCATGAAGGGGTGTGGACGAAATGGTTGAGGTCAAATCATGCACCCTTTCCACACAATGCACCTTTATGAAAAGGTGTCTATTCACTAATGGTTGAGGCCTTTTTCGTAATTTCTCATTCATCCGATATTGATTTTCGAAATGCCAAATATACCCTTCAATACATGCAGAGAAATCAAAATTTTGTGCGCCCCGATCCCCGTTTGTGCGCCCCGAAGCGGCGAAGTGGCAAACAATTTTGCCTAAACGGATTGAGTCGAGCTTTTGAGTATTTGGCCGAATTTGATACGAACTTTAATCGATTTTCAATTCTCAATTTATTTAACCAATATCCAACACGAGGGCACTATGAATGAGAAAACTTTTCAGCTAGGGTATGATACGGGCTTGCTTCATCGGCTTATTTGACGAAGAGTGATCGACAGCGTACTTTCTTCAGTGTTATGTGACCCAGGAGCCTCTTTCGAAGTAAAAGGTACAATTACCATCTTCTCTTCTTGATCTAAGGAGATGGGTTCAGCTGGAATCGGCTCACGAACAGTAGTTCGTTTTTTACGCCCACTTCGATGTTTAATGTAGACACAATAGTAGATGGTTCACTTTTGCTTAATCTTTCCACGGCACTAAGAAAGAAAAAAAAGAAAAAAAAAAAAAAAAAAAAAAAACCATAAAGAACCTGTGAGGAAGCATCTAAATGGGGCCATGGCGAGAGATCCCTTTTGATTGCGGTGGCGTCGTATGGGGTGGGGTGGGAGAAGATGAACAATGATTGACTTTTTTGTTTTTTTAAGTTTAATTCAAAGTTATAATTTTACCCCTTTTAATATTGATCAAAGTCAATTTATTGGTTCAACTAATGGTCAAATTAACAGAAACCATTCATTTGGACCTCAGTTACAGATTTTTTAAAGGTTTGATATTCAGGATGGTACAAATGAAAGGTTTGAGCAAACTCCGCTAATAAACGAAAGGTTTGATACCATTGTTGCAATTTTTTGGGCATGTCCAGACCCAACCCAACACGAAAAACAGAGCTGACCTGATCCTTGAGGAATTATTTGGGGGGGCGAATGTGGCGAATTTTTGTTTGATGTGGAATTTCATTTCCAGAAAAATTCAGCAGAAATGAGTACGAAATTAGCCAAACTGTGGCTAGCTGCTATTCTTGCTTATAGCATATTTGATTAAGGCTTTATTTGATTCCCACTTCTTTTAAAAAGGGTTGGTCCTAGGTCAAGACCGACAAGGCAATGGTCAAGAGCCTCAAATCATAGGAGGGCCTCAAAAATGAAAAATAATTCATTCTAGAAGCCCAATTAAATTTAAAAAATATATATAAAAAGTATTTTAACTCCAATATTTTTTTTGTTGATTCTAAGTACAATCTTATTCAAATCAATATTTCTTGAATTTAATATACATGATTAATGTTGAGTTACCAAACGAGCCTAATTTTGTTTGGGTAATCTAATTTAATTTAAAAACTAATATTACACATTAAGTAATTATTTTAATGAGTTATAACTTGAATTTGCTTTATCCATATTAAGTTTTTTTGGAGTCCATAATGTGGCATTTATTACGAATTTCGGAATGAGTCCATTATTGATAGGATAATTTCGATACTCCAATAAATACACATTTGGTACAAATACATTATTAACCTTGAAACTTATTTTTACTTTAATCCCTCAAAATCTTGAATTTATTAAAAGGTTTTTGAATCAAAATCATAAGAATCTAGTTACGTTTTTAATCACTAAATAATCTAGACTTGTCGGAGTTTATTTATTTTTTTCTTTTGCACTTTTATCTTTTGGATTGTACCAAGTCTTCATTTAAAATATAAATATATTCCTTATTTAAACATTTAAGTATTTTTATGTTTGTAAGAAAATTACATTTAAAGGCCTCATAATGATGAGTTGCCTAAGACCTCAAAATTCTCGGGGTCGTCTCTATTTCTGAAATACATTTTTTTCTTCTTCTCAATCATACATTTTTCATTAAAATAATATTACATATAAATAAATAAATAATCTTATTTTTCAACCACACATTTTCCGATATACTATTTTCAAATGCATTTTTCATAAACACCCTCTAAATTAGCCAAAGTAGTTTAATTCTTCTTGGGTATGAGATAAGCACGGGCAAGAATCCTGCAGCAAATCTTCTAGCTTTGTCAAGGGTAAGAATTTCTAATTTTGTGAATTTTAAAGATTTTCTAATATTTGGAGTTGGGTTTGGAATTTGAATCAATTCAAAAACTGCCCGAAAATTCAAAATTAGAACTTGACCCAATATATGATTTTGCTGAATTTATAAGAAATTAAGGAATATTAGGAAGACTAAACCTTGTATCTGTTATCCATAATACTGCAGATTATATAGTTCAATTATGGTTCACGAGAACAAGATATCAGTAACACTAAGAGCAAATTAAGTAATTTAAAACTGCAGGAAGTAATAAATGAGCGAATGAATTTTCAATCGAGGCATGTGTAAATGCAATTTCCTTAAAATAGATTCACAACCTTACTCTACGTGCTTGAGGTTTAGTTTGAGCGTTTGTTTTCTAAGATACAAATGAAAAATCAGTAGAGTTCAAGCACTACAGAAACTACTCTAGCAATCTGACTTAATATCCAAATAACATCACAAAACCAGAAAAGAAAAATTTCCTCTAGATGGAGAGCTGTAAAACTTGCTATGCAGTATGCAGAATGTATTGGTTCTCTTGTGTGAAATATGGAATATAAGTTCTATATAGACTTAACCCCCATTAATGATGAGTTAAATATGTCCATAAGTATGCCATTAACTTGTATTATAATGACCATAACTCTTAGAGTTTCAACAATTTTAGAAGTTAAAAGGTCAATTAGAGGAAAAAAATTGGCAAAAAGTAGGTCTTCCTAAGGGGCCAAACCTGGTAATTTCAGTTCGACATTCGTGTGCGCAGGTTGAGCCCGCACACAAGTTCAAGGCCCCAAACCTATTTCAATCCATAATTTGCACCCTCGCTGTGTACGTAGAGGGAGCATTCATGTTATACATGATTACACCTTTCCAAAATCCAATCCTATATAACGTGGTATGAACAATGCTATAAGTACAGATTTTTTCTGCAAAATTTGCACAGGATGATATCTGTCTTTCTATTATTGGTTGTTGTCAAAAACTATTTTTGGCAACAGCAAGTCAAAATATAGTTGTCTTCCTGTACAAATTCTGTTGATAAAAATCTATACTTGCGAATTAATTGAAGTGGTATTTGCCTTCATTATTTTCCTATGTGGATCAAACCTTAATTGGGGTTTCTCAAACACATAAACTCCTTTCAATTGACACATTTTGAACTCCAATTTCCATTCGCCCAAACATTATTTTTGGTAAGTAAATATACGATTTTAATATTCTTATAGAAGAGAACACAAATCAATATTGATCTTCAAAAATAATCAATTGAGTCTCACTCAAAATTTATGTCAAAACCAGTCACTCAACTCATTTTTCCAATAGTATTGCAAAGGTATCAATAAATTTAATATACAAGAATCAATTGTATTTCCCATGATTAAATTATCTGCATTATTAAGTTTTGAAAGGGTGTATCTCTGGATTAAAGTAGCCACCTTGGCAAAATTATTATCCTATTCGATTATGAAGACAAATGATGGGAGAAAAAGAGTTATCAGAGGTTGTCTATTTTAAACTAATGCTTGAGTAATGCTGAGTTTATTAATTACTACTTTTGGTTAGAAGTCAAGTCCCAATTCCACATCAAAGTTGTGAAACTTCCTTAATTACAACTTGCAAAAGGATTCTTGACGACGAGCTTGTCTAAACTGTAAATTAATATTTTAACATTTCTCTCTATTTCATATAACAAAATTCTTTTACACTTGTAATTTAATTAATTCGCACCAACAAAGCAAAATTCTTCTTCACTTGTAATTTAATTAATTCGCACGAACAAAGTCCGAGATAAAAAAAAAAAAAAATCATTAACCGAATATAGATCGACTCCTTAAACGGCGTCGTATGTTAAATCTCATAATTACCCTTCGACTTAAACCGTATTTGCTTCTTTCCTTCCTCCGAAACCACCAATTTCTCTCTCTCCAAACAGCACCCTAACCCTTCGTTAGGGTTTTTAGGAACGAAAAATTGCTGAGAAGGGCAAAAAAAATTCACATTCATAGCCGTCGTTAGATAACAGGTAATTTAGGGTTTTTATTTTTTCTTTTCATGTACTGCAAAGGGTTTTTCGATTTTATCTTATGACTTATGAATGGAGATTATTATTTGTGGCATTTTCTTGACTTCTTCTGATTTATCATTCTTCATAGCCCTGGCAACTACTCTTTTTTGCTTCATTTTTTTGGCTGTTTTTATTCTTCGGTCCTCAAAAAAACCAAAATTACCGTCCAGCCCTTCCGAATTGGAAAATTTAAAGCCCTTTGATTGTGCATGCGCGGGAGAGAAGAGTAGAAATCGAAGTGGTGAAGAAATGACGCCTGGTTTGAATTGCGGTAATGGTGGTGGTGGAGAGATTGGGGAAATAATTGTGGAGAGGCATACAGGGGCATCCATGATGGAGCAGCTGGTGCCGGAGATCACGACACATGCCCTTAGCTACTTGGATTATCCAAGCCTTTGTCGCCTCTCAATGACTAATTCACATATGCGCAAAGCTGCAAATGATGACAATGCGTGGAAGGCTCTCTACCATAAGGTGCCTTTTCCTTAAAAAATTTAAGTTTTAGTGCACGTAATTTTATTGAGTTTTTTTTTTTTAATCTGCCATCTCTTTGATTTAAGATGTCACGTAGCACGCTAATTAATGCTAAAACAGAAAGAAGAGAATCAAGAAGATTTGCCACACGTTTATTTAGTGAAAGAATTCTTTTATTGCTGCTATCTCGATTGACAGAAAACAAGAAAGGAATTTTGATTCTCTTGAATGACATATGCATGTTGACGGGGAAGTCCTGCAAAATTACGAAAATAGTTTCATCATGTTATGATATCTTAATTAGAAGATCTTAACTGGATAGAATCCCTTAGAAAGAAATCATCACGGCATCACCTAAACATAAAATAAATCAAGGGTATAAAAGTTGTCACATCTGCATAGTATTGTATGAGTTGGGACCTGTTCTGCATGTTTATTTTTGCATTTTGTCACTAGTTAGTTTCTTTAAATAAACAAAAGATCTTAGCTTTTGAAAAACTTTATAATGCGATACTTATGGTTGCTGTTTGTCTATGTGACCCGAGCTTTCTATAAATTTGGAAATTTGGTGTGACATTGCTTAAATTGGTTCTGGAAGATCGAGATTTTGGATAGGAAAATTGCAAAGTTGTTACTTTTTTTATTTTTTTTTATTTTTTATTAAGATAGGCATTTGAAAGAAGAAAAATGATTAGAGTTTTAGACACCCATTGTTATCGTATTAATGTAAACTGCAAGGCATTGATTCTTTGATCCATACCGCCAATGCCTAGTATCTCATACAAGAGCGATTAACTTGGTTTTGGCATGGATACCTTAGTTATTCTAAGGTTGGTTTTCCTATTATTGTTGTCAAAAAAATAATTCACATGTAACTATCAATGTATGACTAGACGGGGTCTTAAATATTAGTGACTATGGTACATGCCAAAACCTTTTGTTATTATCAGCTTCTTGTTCATTTTCAAACATATTCATGCAATCCTTATCCTCCAAAATTGAGATCGAGATGAAGGAGTAGAGAGCCTTGATTTTAAAACATTTAGTTGAAGTCGCCTCAAAAGTGAGAAAGAACCCAATCAGGCCGAGATAGAGATTAAAGTTCTCTTTCATTCTGCTCCTTTGAGAAGGAGACAATTTTGAATCAGATTCCAGATTGTTTCCTTTCTTCTTATAGTCTATGGAACAATTCTCTATTTTGCCTAAATCTTACACACGAAGGGAGTACGTACTTCTTTTTCTTTGTAGGATTATTTATTTATCTCTCTGACTGATAATTGAAAGAATAAAATGTATGGCCTGAAGAGTGTTAATGCTGCAGAACACTTTATTGAGAATAACTTACATGTAATGAATTATACTTTTCAAAGATGGTTCACTTACTGGAGTTTACAACTCACAGATTGTCATGTTTCTTTGGAGCTTTTTTGTTTTCTGTTTTTGCTGTCATCAGCTATTAATCCAAGATTGCTATTAGATTTCTCAGGTATTGGTTACTGCAATTCTATAACAAATCCATTAATTGGTACTTGTATGTAGGTTTGTTCATATGGCAGATAATATTTCTAGACGGTGTTTTATCATTTAAGTTATGGTTGAAATGGTGAACGATTACTAATTTTTTTCTTTTCATCTTTCTCTAGGATTTTACTTTGGAACAAGACAGTTTGACACCAGTCAATGGATGGAAGGCCTACTATGCTGCTACAAGAGCCATTGTTAATACTAATGTCGAGTTTTTTAGAATCATTACAGAAAGATCACTTCCAGCAATGGGTCAGTTTTGGCTTAATGTAGATTATGTGAAGTGTTTTCATGCAACTGGAGAGTCCTTTACTGGGTACGAGGCTTTCTATCTGTCATTTAATATACTGTAATTTTTACCTGTCTGGAGGGTTAGACCTTAATCCTAGCTCATCAATTCCCTTCCCATCTCTTCTTCCTTGAACTTGCTCTTTTCTTATTAATTTATGTGCTGGGTTGTTGCTTTTAATTTTTTATATCTTCAATGGTTTGGTTTGAATCTTAAAAACGTTTTTAATGCTAAATCAAACTTGCGAAGTTGAAGATTCATGATGTAGAGGTTCGTTTGGATAAAGTGCATGGGTGGTCATTGTCTGTTTCAAGTTTAGTTCAATGCTTTCTAAGGAACATTTTTCATTAGAAATTCAATGACCTCTTTTAAGTGTTTGTGAAAGGTAAAATATGCTGTTTGCAATTTTTGTTTTGTTTCTACCATCTCTAGGTGATCTTTCTCATTATCATATTATGCTGAATACTTTTATGTAACTGACCAGCTTCCTAGCATCTTTTCCGCATGTATGAAATAAAGCACAATGATTAAGGCAAAGATGGTATTGTTTTAAAAAATAATATTAGCAGTAATAACAACAATAGCAGTAATATAATACTTAGTAGTAAGAAGGATGTGTATACTAAAGGAGTTTTGTCTTCTAGTGGACGTTTTTGAAGTAACCAGAAAAGGGCTTTGGACCATCCTTGATTGTGTTATGAGCAAATCTTAGCGTTTATATAAATTGGGTGAATGCCATTCATCCTGGAAAGTTCTTTCCCTCTCAATATTTGTACCCATTTGTCATATCATGTTAATATGTCGCACCATGAGGGTACTGTTGAATCCTGTTTGTAGTATAAACCTTTTTCCTTTCCCATTACAGTTACAATGCAGTTATGGAAAGCTGGCAACTCGCATTTAGCTGGGAAAATGTTGTTGATTTCCAGATTCGAGATGTAAGAGCGCGGGTACTGACAGATATGGCCTGGGTTACCATGAAAGCTTATCTTGACATGGAAACTGGGCCATTCAATGTGACTAATGTTTATGAGTTTCATAGTGGGAGATGGTACATGGTGCACCATCACAGCTCTGCGATGCTCATTCATGGAGGTGGTGAGCAACAATTTCTGCAGCATGCATGACAAGGAAGATACTAAAGTCTAGTATGAAAATGAAAATTGGTAAAATTGGTATAGTTTTCTCTTTGACTATTGGTCATGACTATTAGAAATGACTAAGAAAGTCCTTTGTGATTTCTTGAGAGATCTTCATGATTTCTTTTCCTTTCGAACTTCAGATTTAGCTCCCTGTGTGTGGAAGCTCTCAGTTTCTGGGGAGTTTAGTTTTGTTGACAATTCTTTTTTTTTTCTCAAACACATGCATAGAAGAAGATTTTACTGCTTGTACCCCCTTTTTTTTTTTTTTTTTTTTCCCGTTGGTTGATCGAGTGGAACTTTTTGTTGAACATGACGGTTGGATTTTCAGAACGAAACAGGTAATTATAATAGGGATCTTCAAACTTTGCAGGATGTGACACTCGAATCTCCAGACCTATTTATAGTGCAAACAGCTATGACTCCTGTAAAATCTCGCAGTAAGAAGAGAGAGGAAACTGTGTATTACCATGTAATGGTTGCCTGTGGCTGCTGCAAGAAGGGGAATTGAAACCTGAGGCCGAATGGAATCAATTTGCTTTATTTGAAAAGTCTTAGATATCTTAATGTATAAAATATTATTAAATTTAATATATTAATATTGCACAGGTGCGACTCTAGTGGACCTGACAGTTTTTAGTTATTTTTGCTGAATTTTAATTTCTATAAAAATAACATAGATCTTCGGGCTCTAAAGTCTGTTGTGGCATGACATTTTTTTCCATTTCAAAATTTCAGTTCTAGTCGTTAGACACTTCTACCTACCAATTTTGTGCCTTGAAAGGATGCAAGTGCAAAAAGTTCAAGTCAGTACATTTGTTGTAACAATTGATCTCGGTGTCCAAGTCGTTATATCATATGGGACGGCATTTAGTCTATCCCCTCATAGATTTATATCATATCATTAGGATTTAAATCCAAGAGTTAAATTTGTATTTTTCAGTAAAGCTTTTCTTATATTTTTGTCATTAGAGCACCGTTTAGTGTTCTAAAAATTGAGGAAACTAGACGGGTCCTTGGTGTGCATCACAAGGACATAATGAAAATAATATTAAGAATAGGGGAATGCTTAAGCATGTTTAGGCTCGTGAAGCTAGAGACTTGGCATTGTCATTTTGTCATGCTTTAAGCATTTTAGAATATTGATAGTTTAAAATCAATTAAGTAATTGAATGTGAGTCGTTTATTATTCACACAGAAATTGAGGAAAAAAATATTGGTATGCGGATTTAGTAAATTAAGTTGCTCTAGCAATATTTTCCCCTTGAAGTTTCACTCATCATTCGTTCTTCTCCGATGTTAGACATGATCAAACGTACGAGTGGTTAATTGGATTGAATTCTATTTAAAATAGATTAACATAATAGATTAGAATAATAAGTGAAGTTGATATAGAACGAAATTACTAGAATGATTTTGCATTAAATTCAATATTTTTTGAGTGAGGGAGAGAGGAAAAGGAGAGACACCAGTCCTATAACCATTAGAAACAACAATATCACACTCAGCAATCGGGATAAAGAGAACAGGTGATTCAATATTAGTCCAAAATATTTATTCATTTTTCTATTAACTAGCAGCACGTACGTCACACGTTTTATGTATCAGACAAATGATATGACTAATATTTTTAAGTACTAATAATATTTTTTGAAGTAGTTGATATAATTAATATTACTAAAGGAAAAATTAAAATTGTTAAAAAAATATGTATATGAATAACACATTTTACGAAATTATGTATATAATGTGAAAGGTTTAATAAATTGAAATGTCATATTTTCATTTGAATAACATTTCTTTATACACAATATTTTTTATCAACATCCTACAACTTTTCTTCTTTTTATTTTTAGTCTTTTGTAAAAATTTTTGTTGTCTGTATTGAAACTCCACAAAAAAAGTGTAAGATATAATTGCCAATTAGATAATACAGTTCAGAAATATATATTCTAATAGTAAATATTGTTTTTCCTTAAACTTTGTTAATGATAATTGCTAGTATAGATGTATTGAAAATTGTTCTATCTTAAATTTGCAAAAATATCTTTCATCATTTGTTGGAGTTAATGGGATGCGAGGATACTATCTGGCAACAATGTATTTAGAAACTCCTCTTAATAAAATTGATTTGTATTTAGATTGCACACAAAAGATAAAAATGAGAATCAAATATGAAGTGAAATTACTAAACAGAACATACATTGAGGTTGAAGAACTAAAATAATCAAATATTGAATTGAATTGACAATAAGCAATCATGTCAAAAAATAACTAAATTCTATTACTACTACAAACAAATGGCGTGCATAAATTCGTAAGATTGAATTATTATTTATTTTGAATGGCAACTTCATATACATTACAAAATTTTTACTTTAACATAACAAAGTTCTTATTTAATCTGTTTGAATGTAAATATGTCAAATTAAATTTAAAAAGTAAAGTGTGTATACATGTGAATATTAAAACGCCAAAATGAATGCATAATTTATATTCATTAAATATATCCAAAATCACAAAATATAAAAAGTTATACCTCATTTAATTTGTTGAAAGTAGTGTTTGCCTAAATTCAAGTAAATATATTTGACTTATTTTGATTCAATACGATCTGATTAGATTTAGTATCATTGGAAACATATACATCTTTTTATAATAATCCTATGAAAGTTGGAAGAAAATGATAATAAAAAATTATAAAAATAATTGGTATGAACTTAAAATCAAATAGTTTTTTAAATATTTTTGCACATAATATAATATGAAAAAAGAATTTATAACTTAAACAAAGTTATAAAGTCAAATTTAGGATTTTTGAACATTTAATAATGTTAATATTGTTAGTAATATTTAAATATAATATAACTTTAATAAGCATCAATGATACTTACAATTTTTTTAGTATATCGCATAACAATATTTTAATATGATGACATTAAAATTTAAAATATACACTTTTTTAGTATGATATGAGTGTATATGTGTATATATATATATATATTTATTTATTTATTTATTTTTTTTTTTTTTTGAAATGCCTACAGAATTTTAAAATATCAAAACAATTGGACAAAAAATTGTGGGTTGCGACATAAACCTTAAACTATTTGATTATGCAATTAAATTATTTACATAATTAATTTTTAACTATAATTTTGC